TATCTAATTTCATTCCTCCTGTTCTGACCCAGCCTTAGCAGAAGCAAGAAACTGACTCCTTGTTGCGAAAAAAACCCCCACTTTATTTACCTCTTGTGAATTAATTGCATTCACCCATCAAAAAGTCCAGGCAATAGTCCTTCAAGGAGTTAACTGCAGTAACAGACCTTATCAGTTCCTTGCGATAATTGCAAGACCGTGAGCTCCCAGCGAAAAGGCTGCAAATAAAGTTCTGGCACGCAGTCTCTGTGGCACCAAACACAATGAGCAAAATTTTCAGAAATACGAACTATTGTCTCCTACGACAACCACTCCCCTTTCCTTCTATTTATTCCCCAGCCAGGGAGGGGCCATTCAGCATCCACGTGTGCTTTGCTTTCCGAGTCGACTCCTTGTCCTCAGTTGTTTACCTCTCCTAACTATTGTGTGCATATGTGCATCTGGAACAGGCCCAGCTGTTCTTCCTCCTCACTCATATAAGCCACCAAAGGCAGCTGCCTCGCCGGGGGCTGGGGAATATTGGATGGCCCTGGCTCTAACTCTGCTTCCGATGCGGAGCATCCATTAGAGCCTTCTCCAAACTCCAGAACTGGCCCAACCTCATTGTCCGAATCCTCCACCAGCTCTGCCGGCAGCAGGCAGACCACAACACTTAGTAGTTCCAAAAGCATGCACAAGACTGCATACTCTGATCTTCCAGAGTAATGCAACCCTGTCCAGAACAAACTGAACATATTCATATGGGCACATGGATTACAAATGAACAGTGTATTTATCTTGTCTGGAATGAGATCAATTATTAATCATCATACCATCAATGCCAAGCAGTATGGTTTCAATGAAAAATATTAGTAAAGCTGGGTGTCATCATCACATTGATACCAACCAGGCAATACTTTTAGTTGTTCTTGCACTACAGATACTAAGTAGTCTTAATATTAAAATTGAACTCAAGGAGATCTGTGTCATAACTTAGAAGTTTAGATTTGGGTTGCTTTCTTTCTTTTTCAAAGAGTGTGGTAACAGTTTCTCTGAAGGAAGAAATAATGGTCTGTTGAATCAAATTGACAACTTTGTCCTTACTAAATCTAACAAGGTGAAGTGCGCAAGAATTGAGCATCTTAGTTCCTAGTCAAAATTGCTCAAGGATCCTGTCTATATCTTCAAAACTCTATAATTGGAACTTATTCAATGCAGCTAAAGATGATGATGCTCTAGAAATGTCTACATTAACTCAGAAACGCAAATCACAATGAATGCAAATGCCTTTACCTTCAGAGGGCCTAGCAAATAAATCACAGCAAACTGTAGTGGGTATTATCAACTGTTATTAAGTGTCAGAATGTGGCAGCTCTACTGGAGGACATTGTAAAGATAAAAATGTTGCGGAGGAAAAAAACCCTTTTTTGTCATCCTCAGTACTCCAGAATAGGTTTACTAAGGAGCTCTAAATTTTATTTAGTTGAAAGCAGCATGATTTTTTATTCACTATGCTCTACTTGTTGTCATGGTCTAAACTAATTTTAAAAAATTAATGTGCCTGAAAGAGCACTTGAGTAGAGTCATGTCAATGGCCTATGTCAAGTCCATATTCTACAGTGTGATTAGCACTTCAACAAGAGCATCAGGCATATCAATTGAAAAATCCACTGGAATTCTCTGGAAAACATATATTAGCCTATAGGGATGGATCATTTTAATTAGTTAACCATCTTACATGGGATTACTACCTACTCTCCTCAGTAGGTAGTAATTTGAACATGATAACTGGATAGATAATATATTTCCATTTTCAGATTATTATCTTTCTGTCTTGTTTAAACAACTTAGGCAATAATATACGGGGAGAACACTGTAATTGGCATGCACCATACTGCACTGCCCAAGCAGGCATATTAAATTCTTTAAGGACCCACCAGATTGAAACTCTTCAACACTGAGTCTGAGATCATCCCTGTCTCTTGTGGATAGCGTAGTACATCAGCGCATCAAGGTTGAAACACTCCAGTAGACAAGAAGTCCGAAGACTGAGATGAGATAAAGACTGAGATAAATCTTATGGACTAAGCAATTTTACCAGAAGCACCCCACTTTATAGGATGGGAGAAATAGAAGGTGTGTGTGTGTGTGTGTGTGTGTGAATGCGCACACGCTACCTTAGGTTCCTGAAGGAAAAGCTGGATAGAAATCCAATCTGTCAGTCAATGTTTTCTGAATTAGTAAAGGAAAAAAAATGGTACCAACTTGCTTGTTTTTTTTCAGGATGGGACACCAGTTCAGGCATTTGTAGCAGAAGTTTTGAATCAAATTGTTGGAATATCTGTTATTAGAAATGAAATGGTATGTATTCATATTTGCAATTATTCTTATTGATTGGAAAATCCCATTCCTTTTAAACATCTGTGCAACCTCAGCACATTTACAAAAGGAATGAAGTTCGGACTGTGATACTCCATCTATCAGCTTCCTGTTTTCATACACACACGCACACACATACATCCTGCAGATAATGCTGGAGAAGAATATATATTTGTTTAAATTAAGTTCACATGGTCTGGATCCTAGTTTCCCTCTCACTGCAAGGAAAAATCTGAGGAGAAAAGAACAAAAAAAGAATTTTTTTCTTAATAGTGGCATATCTTTTTATGCAGACAGAAGGATATAGTATTGATGCAGAGATGCAGAATTCCTCCTTAACCACTTCCTGAATTGCTTTCCAGGACATCGAATATATTCGCTCACATTACAACATTGAAGATTTTATATATTTCAGTCATTACCAGCAGGAAGAACATGGCCATCTTTACCATTTTTCTCTCAATCCAATTTTTCATCATTATGCCAAACATTTTATGAAGGAGATACTTCGCCTAGCCCATAAATCATGCCTCTATTATCCTATTTATTCCCAACCTGTAGAAGGCAAGGTAACTGCAAGCTTTTTAAAAATTAATTTTATTTTTTTAATTGTGTCTTCACTTTGTTGGGTTGATGCACGAAAAGATAATCTATGCACTTCTAGTATGAACTATATTGTGATTTGTGAAATAGATAAAAGAAAGAATAACTTTTAATCAATTATGATAAAATAAAAACTGCAAGACGTTTGCTATAAAATAAACATGCTACTTAGGCATTGTAACATTCTTAAAACACATTTAAGAATTACTATTTGATCTGAGGAACACATTCATTGAATGTACTCCCTCCATTTGTATTTATTACCTTTTTGTTGTTAGTAAAAAAAATGATAAATACTTTAAAAAGTTGTTCAGCTCTTACATAGGAGCCTCCTGGAATTTACTTCAAAAAATATTCAAAACTGTGCTGTTAAGTGTCATTTCTACAAGGAAAATAGCCAGTAATCAGCATAGGCTAGGACAGTGATGGCGAACCATTTTCGCCTCGGGTGCCAAAAGCATGTGCGCATGGGCTATCGCGTGTGCTTGCATGCCCACCCCCATAATTTAATACCCCCCACCCAATGCCCCCTGCGCATGCACATGTGACACACACACACCCTACGCATGCACGCACTGCTTTCTTGGAGGATGGTTAAAACAGCCTCCCCCGGAGGCCCTCTAGAGGCCCTCCGGAGGCTGGAAACAGATCCTTTTCTGACTTCTGGTGGGCCCGGTAGGTCCATTTTTCATCCTTCCCAGGCTCCAGAGGCTTTCTAGGAGCCTGGTGAGGGCGAAAAACGGCCCAACCTACAAACTGGAAGTTCGGGAACAGACCATTGGGACTTTTTTCTCCCTCTGGAGGCTTCAGGAGGCTTCCCTGAAGCCTCCAGAGGGTGAAAAACAGCCCAACGCGCAAACCAGAAGTCCTTCCGAACTTCCGGTTTACACAAGCAGTTTTTCGCCCTCCGGAGGCTTCAGGAAAGCCTCTGGATGGTGAAAAATGGCTGAAAATCAGCTGCCCAGGATGCGCATACGCGCTGGAGCTGACAGGGCAATGCCTCATGTGCCCTTAGAAATGGCTCTGCGTACCACCTGTGGCATCCATGCCATAGGTTTACCATCATGGGGCTAGGATCTAAAGACACTCATGATAACTCAAATAGTCTTATTATTAATTTAAGATAAAGACATTACACAATAAACATATAATCCTAATCTGAAACAGAGATAAGCAGCCTTCATAAATATGAGAGTTAAATCCAGGGATTCTATAAGGCAATAAGAATTAAACACAATTTTGGTAATTTCTGAAGATCTTCATTAAGGAGCTGAGAATAAATAGTGGATAACTTCCATTTCTGATCAGCCAGCATGGCAGATTTGAAGTGGAAATAGGCGGACTCTCTGCCAATTGTAATAAATTCTCAGAGTCATTCTGCAAGATGAGTGGCAAACAAACAAACAACTAACATAATGGATATTATATCCTGCCTGGATTGGGCAGACCGGTGGTTTGTATTTCTTCACCTTGAGCTGTGTTGCTTTAAATTTTGAAGGTGTGATTCCCCAATCCTTAGGAGCAGGTTGAAAAGTTAAAACAAAAAAAAAAAAGCTTTAGTGAATGCGCAGAAAGACTTTAGAAATACTCTAGATATTTTATTGAAATGATTGCAGTTTTAATTATTACATCTTTCCTACGGTTTATATAAAGCCTGCAATTGAATTCACTGCAATGCAATCAGTCCTATTTTGTATTTATGTAAGCATAAGAATATTTCTTAGTGTTTATGCTATTTCATTAGCATTTGTCATTTACCTTTTTAATGAAAGCATCATTTATCTGTTTTGTGAAATAAGCAAAGGTTAAGAGTATGCATGTATTGTTGCTTAATAAGATTGGATGAAGAAGACTCGTGATTGCTGTAAAGAAAAATATTCCTCCGGGGGAAGCTTCTTGTGCTACAGAATCCCATAAACCAAACCACTTGTTTATCTGTCATTCCCAGTGAGATAGTAATATAATTAGTCTCATAATTATCTTCATTAGGATAGGGAATTAACTGCAACCGATTCCTCTACTATGTGAGTGTTTATTTTATTTTTGAGGGAGGGGGAAGTACTCTTCCGGGTTTTAATCAAAGGGATAAAGGATTATTATATTCACAAAGCAGAGACATCTGTGATGCACTCTTCTGACATTCTGTGTGCTAAAATATAGCTTGTTGTCCTTCAGTACCAGAATCCCTGTGCCCATTCCCTGACATCTGCCCTACATTACATGGTTCCCGTGCGACCAAGACGACAGATTGTCTATCCTCTGGAAATGCTTGGTATAAATGCTCCATCAAAACAAGTCTCTAAGGATCAGGTGGGTAACTAAAGCAGAAGCAAGCAAAAGGCATAGCTCCAGCTAAATGTAGAATTTGACAGATGGGATGACATTACTGCCTTAATGCTGTTGGACTGCTTCTTAATTACCTTGAACCTCATGTTCATGCCCTTACAGCTCACAGTCAGCTGTATCATTTTCTATATATTCCATTAAAAAAATACAACTACAGGCTGCAGGTTTTCTATTATTAGAATTTGATACAGAATAATTTTATTATATTAAAATAAGCAGAGCTGCATTATGGAACTTTAATCAGGCCCTTTTCGTCCTTCCAGGAAGATAAATCCCAGTCCTGCACTTGCTATCCCATTCTCCCCCATTATCACATCAAATAGATTATCTGCATTTGGAAGTTCTGCATTGTAAAAAGCCCAATTGAATCATAACACAGGTTTGTATAACCCAGTTTCCCATTTCCCGCAGTGACCAGCCAAATGTGCCTGGAAAATTCACAGTTCTGTCTCAGCAACCAGTATTCAGTGACATACTGCTACTCAGGTTCCATTTAGGCATTGTGACTAATCATTATTGGTAGCCCTTTCCTCCCTAACATTCTCTAATTCCTTATTCATCTTGCCAGGTGGTATATGGGCCTATGTGCTTTGAGGATGAAAATGTGAAATGCATATAAGTGTGCCATCTGTTGCTTTTCATGATGCTAACTAACTGGAATCTCTTTACACGGTTGCTGGATATTACTGATTTTTTGTTCTTCTAGTTGCCTCTTGTATATTTAAGAATAACAGCCAACGTAGAAGCTTTTTTTAGTATACAAGTGTATTTGTAATTTTGAGGGAGGTAGGATTAAAATGGATATTTATTTTCAGCAACATTATGCAATATTTGTATACACTTCACAGAGTTTTGGTACTAGTAAAACAAGCTGAATTATGAAAACAAAAATGAAAGAATAGCAATATGTGAACTAGATTGCAATTATCCATTGTTTTCATTTTTTTATGCTTTTAACTTCTGCAGTGTAGCTCTCTGATTTTAAAAAATGTACACAAAATTTGAAATTTTGAAACTTGCAAAGCTGAATATTAATGGATCTAGTTTAGTCATTCAGATCTGTTTTATAAATTTAAATAATTATAATTATTTTATGTAAACTTTATAAATTTTTCATCACCATTGCTGTACTTAACATATTTTGATTCCAAAACTGGAAAGACCAAAATGTTCTGGGTTTTGGTTTCTCCTGCAGTGGCTAACCCAAAACAGTGTGGCTACTCTTCCAGAATGCAATAGTTTGTTACAGAATTCAAAGCAAAATATTTTCTTAATTTCATCTACACCCCCAGCATGATTTTTATTCCAAGAATGAAGAATGAATATTTATTCCCTATAGAAATTTCAGTATTTGAAAGATTACTTTATTTAGTGCAATAAGTTAAGCATTGAATTAGTGAAAGATTATTCTTTTATTAGTCCATGGAAAATATTTCAGACAGAAAATTTTGAGAAACCTCAAGGAAGAAATAGTTTATTCTTTGGAGGTAGGGATATAACTGGATCCTTCAGTAAGATATAGTGAAAAATGTTAAATGTCCTTGTTAGGAACAATTTCTACTGATGGTTTTTTTCCAGGAATCTGCCTTTTGAGATATGTGTGTGTATCTGCATGTCTGTGTGGTGGGTGGTTATGTATATATAGACAATATGGCAAAGTGAAGTTCAACCAGTATATATAATTAGCTTGAGAACCATAATTATTTTTATAATTATAAGCAGTAGGTTGTCAACTTGTTTTATTGTCTCACCATCTGGGAGCATTTTGCTATCCATCTGTTTTATGTAATTAAGTAATTATCTATATAAACCTACAATGGGCGTTATAATTAACAAGAATAATTACTCTATAATGTATAATAAATTCATATATCTATTAATTTCTTGTTTGTTTGTTTCTGGCTACCAATTCTGTTGTGTTTTATTATTTCTCAGTTCTCAAAGTTGTGAAGTTTTATTATCGGTTTCAGGGATGTTTCTCTTGCTATTTAGACAAAATCTGCTATATCAAACAATATTCTTCTGGTCTCTGTGCATTCCACATATGAGTTTGCACTTGTATAGTCATAATCATTCCACCCAGAAATTCTAGATTAGCTTTGAAATACCTAAGGAAAGAGTAATGAACACAAGTTTGGAATCACTTTTCTTATTTGTGAATCAGCTCTGAAGATTCCTCTGAATCTTATTTTAAAAAAGGAAAACTCTTAGTAGAATAACTTACATCTTCCTTTATTTGGGTCTATTAGTTCCAATCTGACCTTTTCTAAATGTTAGAAAAGGGTGCAAAGAGCTTCAGTTCTCCATTACATAAGCAAAGCGAGAAAAGATGCTGAATTTGATTCCTTTAATTCCTGATTTAATTCAGGCTAAGCCAATTTGGCAAGACCAGTTTTGTTTTAGGAATTCTTTGACAAGTGAGGAATGCTGCCACATCCTATAAAATCTTTATTGAGCTAAATCTGAACAGTTCTTCCCTTCCAAGCAAACTTTGTTGCTGTTAGTCGCAAAGCCGTGTCTGACCCATGGTGACCTCATGGACAATGTTCCTCCAGTCCTTCCTGTCCTCTACCATTCTCTGGAGTCCACTTAAGCTCACGCCTACTGCTTCGATGACTCCATCCAGCCACCTCATTCTCTGGAGTCCCCTTCTTCTTTTGCCCTCAGTCTTTCCCAGCATTAGGCTCCAGTGAGTCCTTCCTTCTGAATCAAGATTATCTAGCTATGAATAGCTAATACTGTACTTCTATAGCAGTGTTGAATATTTATCCAGTGATGTTACCTGTCAGGGAACCTCCAGGTATTTGTATGGAAAAAAATGAGGTAATACTGCATAAATACTATGTTTCTGTTTCTAAACCAATGGATAATAGCATAAAGAAAATGGTATACTGAGGAAGGATTATCTTGACCTTCCGGAATGTCATCCAATTTGGAGCTAAAATCACTGAGGCTAATTCAGTGGTAGGGAGAATATACGGCTAAACAAATGGATGGGGAATTACTATTGGTACCAAAAAAGGAAGCTTGTGAAATGATTTGAAGAAACTCTAATCATGGAGGACTTTGAATAAAAGAAGATATCACAAAAAAAGGCAAATGTAGATTGAAACTTGTCCAGCCCTTTTGTTTCAATCGAAGTATGCCAAAAGGCAGTAATACTTCAGAATTTCAAAAAACATTTCCTTCCACATGTATGCCTCCCTCCCTTTTTTAAAAGGAGTTTTAAATGCCCAGAACAGTCCAAGGAGCCTGAGGAAGAGATACTTTTTGGAATTTTCTAATAATCAGTCCAATTTATTTTAATCATTATTAAGAAAGAAAGAAAAACCAAAAGAAAGTAACATTTAAATGCCAGTAATATAAACATTGCCAAAATATAAGTACCCAATGAAACCAAGTTCAACTTTTTTTGCCACGGTTATGCAGCATGACAGCAACCATGTAGAACTTTGCAACATTGTGTAGAATTTACCAAGTCCAAACTTGGTAGTTACCAGTAGCTGATTTTGGAATCAACATGATCTGACCAGGAGAAAATTTTCAGAATGTATATTAATATAGCAATTCAGAAATAGTCATCTACAATGATTCATATAAAATGTATTCAAAGTCATGGACTAGGAGGATTCATAGCCAGAAGCTAGCTGGAATACTACTATTGATACTATCTTTATTTTCGTTTGCCATAATCATTCCACTTCTATTTACGGGTCTTTGCATTTTGTTATTTTCTCCACTTATTCTATTCTGCTGTCTCATTTGTTAAATCTGGGAGGATATGTGGCAGGTGCTTATCTGTTTAAAATCTAAGAGTACTTTTGCCTTTTCATTTTTTATTATTTTGTCTTATTTTCTTGCTTGTCGGCAAATGGCATTTCTTGCAGATATTCCACTATACCACTGTTGCTATTTTGTTATGCCATTGTTTGTAATCGCTGTGTGATTTTTTTTTTGCAGCAGCGAATTATTATTAATTTAAATTGTTAGCTGCTCAAATCAAGTGGATTCTCAAGTTGTATTAAACATGAATCTGACTGTTCTATTCATTTTTTAAATTCTGAATATACTTTTACTGATATAATAAAAGGAACATGAAGCTTGATAGAGTCCTACTACAATTTTGCTACTATTTCAAGTCAGGAAAGCTGATAAGAGGTATTAATAGATAAGTCTAAGAAGAGATTGAAAAGGTGCAGTTTCTTCACTCATTTAATAAAAAAATTTATCTGGAAGAAATTTTGCCTAATAAAAGTGTATAAGGCAAATTTGTACAACATGTACAAGGCAAACTGAGAATCAGTGGATGTAATGATTAAGGCACCAGAATAGAAACCAGGAAAATGAGTTCTAGTTTTGCTTTAGGCATGAAAGTTGGCCGGGTGATTTGGGGCCGATCACCAGGAGACGGTGAGTTCTAGTGCTGCCTTAGGCATGAAAGTTGGCCGGGTGATTTGGGGCCGATCACCAGGAGACGGTGAGTTCTAGTGCTGCCTTAGGCATGAAAGTTGGCCGGGTGATTTTGAGTCAGTCACACACTCATCCCAACTCACCTCACAGGATTGTTTTCGGGAAAGCAGGAGAAGGAAGAAGTATTAGGCATGTTTGTTGTATTGAGTTATTTATAAAAATAGAGATAGGATTAAATATCTTCTTAAAATTTCACTTATAATAGTAATCCTAAAGCAAGAATCTGATGCCTTGAAAAATACCTACTACATTTCTGATTATTTGATTTGACCAAATTCTCATTATTCTATATATCTGTGAATCTAGAAACGTTCTTAAACCACAATAACCTTCAAGCGATATATATATGTTGCGATCAGACTCCTCCCCAAGGTGGCTGTAGGAAGATTTTTCTCTCCTATCCACAATCTGCTGTTTTTGCTACCAAAGCTGGTTCTTTGTTAGTCTTGTTTCCTGGATTTGAATGGGGGCATTTAGGAATGACCCAAGATGAC